TATGAGCCCCCAAACATTAAAATCTCAGCTAAACACTGAACTGTTCAGGTTCCCCTGGCATGCACAGGGAGCCCTGTACAGGGAAAGCGTGTGAAATACCTGGTGCAAAGCTGGCTGAGTATTTTTTGGTAAGAGTAAATGTAATCTGTGTTTTCTGGAGAAATGAATAGGGACTATTAACATCACAAACAAAACTTTAAGGACCATTTGGGATGTACGCTGGAATAGCCACGGGCTGGAAGTAGGTTTTCAAAAGCCTTATATACGGCAAGAATGTCACAGATGCTTTAAAAGTCTTCAGATACGTGTAAAAATGACATATATATTACATATTATCTCCATAGAACAAATACCATTTGAAATGTGCCCCTTTTTAACTACCATTATGAGCTGAACAATTTTGGTTGAAACTTGGGAGGAAAGGAGAAAAAAAAAAAAAAAAGCCCACTGATCTTACACCTGCTCTTTAGCAGTGGGAAGTGGGTTCTCAATCTGTTAACATGACCATCTGGCCAATCTGCATATCACGGCTATCTGGATTACTGTACGATGGAATGACAATAACGTAGCCAAAACAAAAGTAAAATGCATCAAAAACTAACAGTAGCGCAGTCCTTTTGATTTTAAATTAAATAATAAATGTGGTATCACAGCAAAGTGAGAAAGTCAGCTAAATAATTAAAAATGAGCCTTCGCTACGGCATAATTAAGTAAACAATATGGTGTGTGTTTCTATATGAGCCGGCAATTGTTTCCACCGTTGAACGCTCCACTTTTGCTAAGCAGCTATCAGGAGTTCAAGATGCTGCGACAGCTCTTTTGGTGATGTACAGTATTGTCAGGACACCTCTCACATCCCTGTAACACGCCGAACCGGCTGCGGCTATTAACAGGATTAATGCAGCAACAATCAATACCAATTGTACTAAAAGATTACAGCGCAAGGCCTTATGTACCTTTCGGACTCCCCGATACCTCCACAGGTATTTTGGCTATCTGCAGTTATTTTCTGCATTAACCAGTCTTTGGGTTATTCCCATTGATGCCTCTTTGTGGTGGTCCAAGTAGAAATATTTTAAATTCATCAATGGGAACGTAAAATGGGTCTGCTTAAAGTTCAAGGTCATGTGCTATATACTACTGCCCAGGCAATTAGACATAGAGCATATTTAGACGCCAAGTAAATTCTCACAGTCGCAGAAATAAGGCTGACTTCTTGCATCCTCGCTGGCTTCTATTCTAAACACAAACAGAAAAATGAGTTCATGTAAATAAAACCCTATCCCCAGATTTTTCTTAAATTTGGGATTTTTAAATGTCCTTCTGAAAGATTAAAAGATTTGCTCTGCCACAAATACCTCGCTAGCTTAATTCTCGCCTGAAGCGCATAATGATGGCCGTCCAAAAAAATAAATCGGGCATCGCAGCATCGCCTCCTGGCTTGCCATCCAGCTTCGTCCACTGGAGAAGTCTCTAAAAACTGTGACCTCTCACAAAATTTAACTACTTCCATTGCGAATCTATTCTCCAATCTGATCACATTAGCAGAAGGAACTCCAAAGCAGTAAAAAACTCCAGAAAGTTCTCGGTTGAGTGCCTACTAATGAACAAAGGTTAACTTTATCTAAAAGGTCAAATGCCTGGTGGCTAAGGTTGTGACCTTAACAACTTAAATTGTGACCTTGCCACGTGCCTAGTATATTGTAGATTCTGATACAGATCATCTGGTAAAGGACCGGTCATAAATTAGCTTTACTGTTCGACTCCCACAAAGAAAACGGTTTGCCACAATGGTTTCCAACTTGTCATTTGATACAAGCGCAGAATAAGTGAAAACTAAAAAGCGAACCCAAGTTCAGGGTATGAAAATGCCGCCTGCTTTTAGTTAAGCAGATTAGAAACTGCAAACTGAGAGCAATACTCTAGATTTCAATACATTTTTTGGTCAACCTCTAATTCACAAAACACCAATCTTCCTTTCCTTTTTTTTTTTTAAACGAAAATGACATGTAGTTTGCCTATTTGCATATTTTTGTTTTCTCTTTCTAGCCAGTTCTTAAAGAGAATAATTGATTTCAGTAGCTTTGTAAGAACCACTATTTAAATCTGTGCACATGTGTTCCCTTACAGATGATAGTGCCTACTGAAGAAAAAGCATGGATTCAAAGCAATAATTATCGTACATGTTTAGAAGGAAAGGGACATCTCGCTGCCGAAGTCATCTCGAATAAGGGCATCTTGGAAGAGAATACTCCCCCCCAAAAAAAGAAGATGAAGAGTGGAAAAAAAAAAAACAAGAAAAAGAGAAGTGAGCACTATGGGTGAAAAGGTCACAATGGTTTTGGCACGTATCTTCAAGCACGTTTTGGAGTCTGTGCCTCCTGCCAATACTGGCAACTTCTCAAAACTTTTAAGGAGGTAAAAACATTGTTTAGTGTTTACAAATCTTCTGTGCTATAGCAGATGCTTGTCAAATCCGCTATATGTAAGTTGACCAGCCTACCTAATATTTGCGCTGGTGACTTCCTCCTTATAAATAAGCGGTCCGTACATTTGGGGAGCGAGGTCTGATGGAGTTTGAGACAAAGGACCCTTAATATTTTTTTTCTTTTGTAATTTTCCTGTTGCGCACCCGGCACAAGCTGCCATTACTGCGGGTCTGCGGGAACCAATGGCTGTCAACTTGGCCAATGTTCAGGTGTAACAAAGACTGCTGGGATACATCAGAGGGGGGAAAAAAAAGGGAAAAAAGGGGGGGGGGGGGGGGGGGGCTGAAGCGATATAGACGGCGACCACGCTGTGCTACCTCCTAAAAATCATTTTGTCCCCCTCCCCGCTGAGGTTTAGCAGGGAATACGCCAGCACACGCTACTGCATTAAGAGCACAATGTGATGCGTGCAATCAGCAAACAACGGCCGAAAACACGAAGCGGTGCGGTCTGTACGAGCACGTTACTGTTTACACAAAACCACAAATCTAACCCAAAAACCTGAGCCTAAGCCTCGCGCTAAGTTTCTGCGGCAAACATCTAGTCTGAAGAACAATTAGTGCCATTGCTGCCTGTTGACGATGAAGGCAGAAATAAATAAGAGTTCACTATCAAGGTACTGTTTGCCAACAGCATGCTGATAACATGGTATATCCCTAATCACAATATTGAACTTTTATAATGTCTGTCGCCTGACTGTTATAACAGGAAGAGGATCCCTTCAAGCTCCCTGGAGTACTTACACCCCTGGATTTGGTCCTTTTCTCCCCATCCTACATTTTTGTGACCCTACATGCAGGTTAAACCAAGACCATTGGTTTCTATTAACAACTTTTGCACTCCACAGAAGGCTGCTTTTCATTTAGGAAACACAACACAGACCAGTATTTACCGGCACTGCACTATGTATAAATCTAAACAATAAAAACCTGCATGCCGTATAGGCAGTACATAGTGGTTTTCAGCCGTGGCTATCAAAGCACTTTAAGTGCATCATCCCGCTGCGACATATGGAGGAGGAAACTGAGGCAGACAAAAGGGACGCGAGTGCCTGGTCTCCTCGGGGCCAGTGATGGAAGGGGAGGGGGCCCACAAAGCCCCAGCCCCGATCTCCCTTTGGTTAGCCATTAATTGGTAATCCTTCTTCCCCATGCCCCATAATAAATCGCAGAGTAAATAAATAATTTTCCACAATATTTGCCTACCTCCCCTTTGCCATAAACATGCAATATGATTTACCACAGCGCACGGAAGTGCAAAGTAAATTTCACAGCTTATCTGTAGGAAATACCGTGAGGATACTCAAAAGTTATTTCCAAACAGGGATCGTACCTGTAAAATCACAGCGGCGACACTGCCTATTGCAACAAGCACTGTGCGGACTCAGCGCAGAAAACTTTGGGGTAGCCAAAACTTTCTGCAAGCCCCTCCAAAAGGAGGTGGCATTGGGAATGCAGGTTCCTAGTGCCGTGATTTGCTCAGTTTTCTTACCGATATATATTTATACAGAAGCGTTTTCTACTATGATTCCCCTCACCTCTGCTCCACGTTTTTTCCAGCCTGTCCAGCCCCTCAACTTTTGCAAGTCAGGCTGAAACCCAGGGGGACCTATGCATACTATACGTGAAAACCAGGGCCTAGCACTTCTCACGTGCACATTTTTCTGCAATATAATCACTCAGGAGAACTACAATAGCGTATTCTTTTATCCAGTCAACCTACTACACATCCTCTGAGCACACCAAGTCACTCCGTAGGCAGGGTGTACTTTGCGCTGGAGTCAGAGAGCCCAAGATTTTCATTTCCATCACACAAAAACATCCCAGCCCCCCCCATAAGCACAATATTATCAAACCAGGAATTTGTTTCAAGACCTGCTCAGCTTCTAGGTGTATGAACTGTGATATTTCAGGGGGGTTTAAATGCCTCCTTCTCCCCATCGGATTACTTGGGAGTTTGTTTCGTGGCCGCTCAGACCTGACGGCTAGGTTTGCTATTGAGGGACCATCTTCCCCTTTCCCTCCGAGCCCAGTCCTGTGGGATTTACATTCCCCATACCATTCCCACGGGGTGAGGATACCTGGTACTCCTGACCCACAGGCCTCACAGACCTCTAGCCTTCTCAGGCTACTTTATGCATAATATATAGAAACTTTTTTTTTTTTTTAAATTAAAATCTATCTGCTTTCCCCCAAAATCAGGATAAAGGAAGCCGCGTCCGCCTGTGATCCCTCCTAGGACAACATTTAGGATAACAGCTGTGAAGGATGTCCAAAACGCCATTAACCCCGGGAAAACAAGAACCACTTTTATGTGGCTGCACCTTAAAAGCCCACAACAAAAAAAAAAAAAAAAAAGGAGGGGAGTTTTGGCACTCCCCTCGCTGCCCTGGGAGGGTGATAACCGGCGTCCCCCACTCCCTCCCCGGCTCATGCAGCCGCCGCCGGAGCACGGCACCCGGCACGGAGATAAACCGAAAAGTTGGAGAAGGTGGTATAGAAAAGCACTTACCTGCTGCGTGCACAAAGTATGCCAAATATAAATCGAGTTCCTTAACAGAAACTCCTATATGGTGGGGCTGTACGCACAGCCCGGGGTTAGAGCACTGTGGGGACTTTACAAGGCGCTCGCCATCAGTACTTTCGAGCGGAATACCTTTAAATAAAATCACCATAACAAGGTCCAACCTCCAGACCTTATCTGCCTGGCGAAGGCAGTCAATTCTTCTCATCTTGCCCTTCTGGTCTGGATTGGAAAGAACGCAACACGGAGGCTTTTTTCCTGTGACTGTGAGAACAAAATCCTCCCGAAATTCAGGCCTGATATCTTTCCGGAGCTTTGCCAGAAGTCTGGATGCCCATTTTTGCTTTACCTCGGGTTTTTCACTTAGCAGTTCGTCCTTCACGGCTCTCTCTTCCTCTTTTGACATGCGTTTTTCATGTTTTTTGAAGTATTTTCTTTTTCGGGCTTGCAGGTTGAACCACGTGTACGCAAACGCTCGGACGTGAGGCAGAAGTGCTTCAATGAAGGGATGAAATTCATCCTGAAAAAGTTACAGAGAAGGGTCGATGTCACCGAAACCATCAACAAAAAGCCTCCAGAAAGGGGGCTTTCGCGCGAGGCACTAAGGCTTGCCAGGACGGTGAGAATTAGGAAGGTGCTTATAGATTTTACAGGCTGCGGGACTCGTACCCCTCACCGATGGACCCCAACCCTGCCACCGCCGCATCCCCGCTTCACCCGCACCGACCCAAAACCTCCGCTCCCACCCCCCGAAAACGGGTTCCAACTTCAAACAAGCACCCAGGAGGAGATGGTGCAATGATGGGGCCCTTTCCCCAATCCCCAAATCTCTTTAAAAAGAAGCGAGAATGAGTTAAAAGCTAAAAACCCTGCTGCGAGTCCACTTGTGGAGCGCGTATCTCCCTTTGCTCTCTCCCTGACCCCGCTGCTTGCGGTGTAGCCAGCGTATGCCCGCCAATTTGGCAAATCCTAAACATTTGGATGCCAATCAATGTTTGTATGGGGAAGTCTAAAGTATAGTAAAACTTTCCCTAAGATATATTTGGAAATAGCAGCAGGCAGTATAGTAAAATGCCAGTATAGCTGCATATACAAATACAATGAAGGGTGGTTTTCTCTCCGTTTCCTAAACGGTGAAGGGAGTAGAAAGTAACACGGCCGATTTATCCTGCGTGCGCAACAATAACTAACACTAAAATCCTAGAAAAAGCAAGTCTCACAATTTTTTTTTAAGTTTTGTTTATATTTAGTCAAAAAGAAAAAAAAAAATCTGATATTCGGGCCTATTAGGACAAGCCAAACTTTGAGCCTTTCTAGAAAATAAAAAGAAACAGGAAAAATTGAAAAATGCGGTAATAGAAAACCTTAGTACGACTTGTACAAATACACAAAGAATTATTAATTTTTTCTTTATACGTTGTGACGTATTTTCATATATTTAAAAAGAAATGCCCTACTTGGAAAGTTAGTTTGGCCATCCAGAGACACTGCTTGCTTTGTGTAACGATGAGTTAAAGATCACCCCTCTTCCTTGGCACAAAAATAATCACAATTAAAATTATGCTGACAATTAAAAAAAGACAAGAAAGACCCCCCGATTTTGTTATGGGAAAAAAAAAAAAAAATCCTCAAAAAGTACTACGTAAATCAGCCAGAGATATCAAAACATATTATAATGCACTGGGACCACGCTTTTTGTTTTTCTCTGAATAAATGAATGACCGAACTCTGGGCTGCATGTAAAAATGTATACAGCGTGTGGGGGCCTGATCCAGCATTGCGTGCTGGGGACATCTCTGCTTCCAGGGGCCGAGTTCCTCCTTCTCTCAGGATTGGGCCCTCCAGGAGGGAAAAATAAAGTAATTTATGCAACGTTTCCCCCAGCATGGTAAAAGCCACCCGCTGCCTACCCTTGCAAGACAACATTGGGGATTTTTCAGATTAACTAACTTTTTATTTTTTTTTTTAATTATCCCATGGAGTATTTTTCCTACCCAAATCATTTCAGGTCGTGCAAATAGTGTTATTAAAACAGACATCTTGCGTCCTTTCAACATCTTATTTTAACTTGTATTTTCTTGTCAAAAATTAGGAAAAATTGAGAAATCAGTAGTAGAAATATCTATCAGCAAAATCCTGTCGTAATTCAAGACCTTCTGCTGACTTCCCAAAAGCTTTCATTGCACTTATTCTGAGTGTCCCCTGAACTGTAAATATTTAAATCTATATGTAATACACAGCATTTATTTTTATTTTAAATGCAGATTGTTAAAAACTACCAAAAATGGCACAATATATTTCATTACAGCACAGCAGCGCGGCAGTAATCACAAGTACTATGAATGATTATTAAAATATAAGCAGGTAAAATAAAATAAATCACTCCCATGATTGGCACATCTGTGAGTTTGTAGTCGGCAGATTCAAAAAGTGAGAGGAGGCACAATCCCAGCACATGGAGCTGCTCTCACCCACCAGAAACAGCTCTCGCGGGGTGGGGGGGGAAGAAAAAAAAAAATAAACCCATAAAAACTACAGGTTCCTACAAGCTATTAAAAATAATAAACCCTCCCTTCTGATCCCTCCTGTCCTTCCCCTTCCCCACTCAGGGAGAGTCAAGGAAAAAAGGCCTTTTGTCAAGTGGAAGTTTATCTGCGAAGGTACACACAGCAGAGGCTCGACAGACCCACAATGAGCCAGGGGAGCGCTTCAAGCGTTCCCAGTTTCTAAACACGTCTTGGTGTATCCTGAAATATTTTAACTTTTCTGCTTTAAGCGGTGCTTTGTCCTGCCTGATCTCATGTGCTCGGGACTTTTTTGGCTCGATGCTGGATACTGTCCAAGAGACAGTCGCTTTAACCTGCGCTAAAGCTGATTTCTACGTTGTGAACCTGAAAGGGGAGGTAAAAACTACACCCCCTCAAAAAAACCCAAACCACTTTAAAAGACTTCAGGGGGAGGGAGGAAAAAAAAAAAAAAAAAAAAAAGGTGCTTTTTGGTGTAAAGTCAGGGTCCATGGCTGAAGTAAATGAAAAGCACCGCTGCTCGGCGCGCGAGGTGTGCACGTCCCTATTAGACTCCAATGTGTCTTTTCAAAATGGTGTACGAGGAGAAAAGGTTAATGACTCATAAACAGACCAACTTTCAAACTGTCTTGGTAAACATGCCGCTCCGTAAAATCGCACCGCTTCAATCTCGGCGGCAAGGTATTAGCAAAGTCGAAGTGGAAATAAAAGCACTCAGGACTGATCAAACAAAATTGGGCTGGAAGCGGGGAGGGGGGGAAGCAGTTTCTGCACAATACAATTATTTATTTCAGTGTTATTATAGCCCCCCCAAAAAAAAAGTTTTGGAAATGTGTCAATGTAAGTGTGCTAACAGATGTGCAGACTTGTCTGCAGCCTCGCTGCAAAATATCAAGATCTTAAGTAACTGGTGGAAAAGGAGATGATCTTTGCCTTTCCCCAAGTTAGCTTTAAGGGAAACTCTCAAAGTATATGATAAAGACGTTTGCTTTCCCCCCTCAGCGTTTGATAGGTCACCTAAAAATAAAAAGCTAGGAAAGCGAGAATAAAAAGTAAGGGTTGGTTTTTTTTTGCATTGCACTACTCTCC